CAATTTTTAACTTCTCCTCAAAGTCAAAAAGGAATCCGTGGATCACCGACCGATTCACGGGACAAATTTGCAGCTGTGTCAGAGCAACAAAATGCGAAGATACACATGCTGGTACATTGCAACTGGCGCAAACTTCAGAGTTATCTGTCCCAGTAGAAGTTGTGGATTCATGCGACAAAACAGGGGTGGACATTAGAACCCCTAAGGTCTTTCGAGCTTGCGAGAAAAGCGTACTAACCTGTATCGTGTGTCTAAGCAATAGTTCCCCGTCGCTAATGGACGGACCTCCCAATTGTAGGTGTTGATCTACCGTGGAAGGACTTGCCAAAAAAAAGCCAATTAACCAAAACAACACCTCAAGCCTCGAGCTATATATAGCTTATCGTGACTCAGCGCTGTGTAATATGATAATGGCTTTCGGTAATTGAGACATAGAGCTTGGAAAACAGTACATGGGGCTTTGCAACTTTAACGTCGTACGAATTCCTGCCCAAAGCCTCGTTTTCTTTTCACACGGGCTCCAGTGCAAAAGCCTAAGTGACTTGCACGGCCAATCCTCACACCAAGCTGTGCTAAGAGAAACGAATATGTAGCGAAATGCCACATGCATTTATGTGTATAAGGTGGTGACTGAAATTTCAATTGCCGATTCCCGAAGGGTCGTACAGAAACGAGGAATGGGGAAAAAGATCAAAAGCCCCACGGAATCCTCATTAAAGATATAAAGCAATAAGACTGGCGCATTTCTCCCAACTTTTCCTCCACTGTACTCCTTCGCATTCCCTCCTATCATCAACAAGTACACAGCTTCTCCAGCCTACATCAAATGCCTCCGACGAAAAGACCCGTGGCAAGACACGCATGTCTGGCTTGCCGTGAAAAGAAAATCAAATGTGACGGCGAACAACCTCCGCAGCCAGGTGAGCTTTTCAGTGAGATCAGAAGACAGAGGTGTACGCACTGTAAGAACTTGGGTATCGAGTGTGTGTTTGTACGCTCACAACGTGGAGGAAGACGTAAGAAAGATGCAAATGGTGTTACTGGTGCGATCAGTGCCAGTGATAGCGGCAGCGTTTCGGAACCATCAGGTACAGCCACCACGACAGCAGGCGGTCTGACTTCTCAACCACCACTACCACTACAACAGCAAGATCAGCAGCAGAATCATTTCATTGCGCCCGACAGAAGAACACTGGATGATGTCGTAAGAATGGATGCCGCAACACCGCCGGTGTTCAGTGGAAGAGAAACAGTTCCTGGCTACTCAACAGCAGGGTCGTCGTGGTTGCAATCACCGTTGACATCATCATCAAGAGCCAGACTATCAACTGGTGATGGCTCTCAGTACACCTTACAAGAGAAGGTACAGCAGCTGCAAAGAGATGCTGCTGACTTGCAGTCACGGATCATGGATAAGGCGGAGTCTCAAGGGTCATCTGTCACTCCATCGGAGAGCAGTTACTTCTCGAGAGATGGGTACAGCCGAGCAAACTCGTGGACTGGTAGTAATGCTCCACTGCCTCCGCCACCACGTCAAGCGGGAAGTGATCGAGGCAATTCGCACTCACATCCGCCTCATCATCACCAGTACCCTCATCCTCATCGTTCCCACCGCCGTCATGATCATGGTCCTCCACATCCACCACCACCACCACCACCACCTCCTCTAGCAGGTGGAGCATCACCACCGCCGCCACCGCCACCACCAATGGGTCTTCATCACCACCATCCGCTGTTCTACCCACCACCTCCTCTACCTCCACCTCCTCTCCACGCGATGCATCCTCCTCCTCCTCCTCCACATGGGTTCCCAGGTTGTCCGCCTGGCGGTCCAGGCTATCCTGGTGGCCCTGGAGGTCCTCACGGCTTCAGAGGTCGTGGAGGACCTCGTGATCCTCGTGGGCACAGTCCAAGACACGAGTATGGTGAAGAGCGCACAACCATTTCCAAGTTTGATATCAGCCTTCCAAAACTGTCACGTACAGTACCTTACATCTCATTTTCCGATGAAGAGTTGGAGCAGTTTGACTTGCCAGATTGGAGAACCACTTGCATCTTGATTGATCTGTATTACAGATACATTCATCCTTCAAGGCCTTTCTTGCCTCCGAAGCATAGATTGGTTTACCAGATCCAGATTCGTCAAGATGCAGCTCTATTGCACGCCATGTTCTCTTCGAGTTGTCGTTTTGCATCTAGTATTGTTGTTCCAAATGCCAACCTTAGAGATCCACAACATTGGTATTTCCTTGCGGAGAAATACTGGGATTTGATGGATCTGGAGAGCTCTTTACAGGCTTTGGTGTTGCTCATGGGTGCGCTGGGACCAGGTGGATACATTCAGCAGTCTATTGAAGGATCTGAAAGAGTATACTCGTTATTGAAAGTTAATAGCGTGCTGAACACGCACAATATCAAGGATTGGAGAGAATTTGCGAATATCATCACCAAGCGAGAGGCTGTCAAACATGAGGATGTTCTGAGAACCATCTGGTCGTCTTGGAAGTTGAACGTCTTTATCAGAATTAACAGAGGGGCACCATTCAACAAACTGTCTCCAAACTTGTTGGAGTTCCCATATTCGATGCCAATGCCACTCAGCGATGCCCAGTACAACTCTAACATGTCGATCTTTGATACAAATGACAACCATGGATTGTTAACCTTGAGATATAAAACATGGCAAGAACTCGAAAGAGAATTGAACAGTGCAGTGATTTCTCCGGATACCAATAATCTTTCTCGTATTACGGATTCCGATTTGAACATTGCCTCTATCAAACTCATTGAAGAGATTATGGATTCCATCTCTAACGGACGTCTTAGCCAGTTGATGGTTTCTGAGTTCAATGAGAAATGCCATGCGCTTGCACAGATTACCATGAAGAATTTGTACCAGGTTTCACATATCAAGAAGAAGATGATTGTTGTGAACATTTCAAACTTATTCGCACTCTTGCTCTTATACCTGGGTAAGATCATCATCAACGTTACCCAATGTGCTCCTCTTTTGCTTATTAGACCTCATGAGACGAATTCCAATAGTAACCCGGACGATGTGTTCAACTCTCTCTACAAGAGTAAGCTGGAGGATATTCAACGCACGTGCCTTTCACTTACAAATGAACAGTTGGAAGCTTTCATCAACACATACAAGGCATCATTGGAAGTTATCAATCTAATTGAGCTTGGGCTGGGTAAAGTTCCAGAGTCCGAGTGTTCAAACACACCTGCACAAGTGATTGGAGGTCCAGTTAACTTGACCCCAGCTGGAGAGATTACTTCGCTGAAGACCAACGACAACTGGTGGGTAAATGCTATTCAGGAGCCTGGTAAATCCATGAGTGCACAGGTACAGTCTTACAACGAGTTTCCAGATATCTGGCTACAGTATCCGATTTTCTCCATAGTTGTTGTTGCCAATGCCCTTACTGTCTTAGCATCTGCAGTGGTGTTGACGAAAGTGCTATCATTTCAGGAGATTGATTCGCAAGGACTGAGCCTTGGTGAGAAAAGAATACAATGGCTCGCTGGTGAAAACAAACACTCCGTCACGATGAAGGTGAGCGAACAGGACTTCAACCTGCTAAAGAAGCGTTTCAACGCATTCCAGATCCATGAGGATATAACACTCTGCTCAAAGTATATACAAGTACATGGCCGTTTCTGGCCCTACGTTGAGAGCATATCATACCAGGCAGAGGCAATCATGAATTACATTGACGATATCATCAACAAGCCTTAATATGCTCACTAATTGGCTAATTCGAATACACATCACCCTTATCGTTAAGCCATCTCGCTGTAGAAAGTAGCGTTTCGCCTGTGGTTGCCCGACAGGGAAAGGTGTGCCCCTACCGCTAGCCACAGTTGTCCCCTCCACATCTCCCGTCACATAATGTCTGCTCTCTCGGGTTTGTTATCTATTTTGGTTATACATATATTTATGTATATAAAGCCCATTGAGCTCTTCAACTGAGCATTATCTCGTCCATTCCGGAGCAGAGTATTGCACAATGGGTATCAATTTCTTCAAAGGACATCCGACGGAGTCTCTGCTGCCGAGCAAGGCCATCACGGAAGCTGTCACCAAGCTGCTGACGGGCCCGAGGGACTTTGACCTTGGTAAGTATATGGTTGTTTCTCTGTGTCTTCTGTGTGTATCTTACATGTGAGATGTGGTGTTAGATGGCACTCGTGAGCATCTGGAGAGCTTATGACGTGGATTTGTGCGTTGAGCAATGATGGACTGACCATTATACAGACCCTGAGGATAGACATCCACTGTCGTATGGGTCGGACCAGGGGTCGCTGTGGGTACGCACTGAGATTGCCAGATTCCATTCGAAGGTGTTCAAAGATGCCGGCACCGAGCCGAGTCATATCAACCTGACTGGTGGTGCATCCTACGGTATCATGAACATTCTGGCTCAAACGACGTTGCCGCACACCGGCTATACCAAACAGGCCTTCATAATCTCCCCGACCTACTTCCTCATCAATGAGACCTTTATCGACGCCGGCTTTGGCGGTAAACTCACCGCTATCGACGAGCTCGAGGGCACCATCGACTTTGCTCTCCTGGAGACCAAGCTCAAGCACTTTTCATCGGGCCCGGGATCAGACGAAGACGACTTGGACCTCATCAACGCGCCAAACGCTGCAACCAAGAAGAAGATCTATAAATTCGTCTTGTACTGCATTCCGAGCTTTTCTAACCCTGGCGGTGAGACCTACGATCTAGCGACTCGTTCCAAGCTGATCGACTTGGCTAGAGAGTACGATATGCTTATAATCACTGACGATGTCTATGACCTTTTGGACTATACACAGCCGCTGGACAAGCTACCTGTTGTGCTACCTCGGTTGACGCACCTGGACCGGATCACGGCCACAAGCGACTACGGTAACACGGTCTCCAACTCAACCTTCTCCAAGTTGATTGCACCTGGGTTGCGAGTCGGCTACCAGGAGAGTATTAATGATAAGCTGGTGTTCCAGCTGTGCCAAGGAGGCGCAAACGTGTCTGGTGGATCGCCATCGCAGCTCAACTCCATGATTGTCGGCACGATCTTGAAAGAGGGCCTAATTGATGGCATAATCAATGGCTTTAGACGCCAATACGCCCAAAGAGCGAAGCATCTACACAGTGCCATTACCAAATACCTCCCACGGGACACAACAGCGTTCGGGTTCGACGGTGGGTACTTTACATGGGTAACACTTCCTCAGGGCTACGATTCTAGACGCATCGTAAAGAAGCTGAAGGAGGAATATGACGTATTACTCGCCGGTGGAGAAAACTTTGAAGTTGTGGGAGACAAGCGGGACTGGGGGTCTCGCAGTGTGAGACTCAGCATCAGCTACCTCTCAGTGGCTGAGATCGACCAAGGCGTGGAAACGTGGGGGAAGGTGATTGACGAGCTCTATCCTCAGAAGTAGTCGCCAGTGGTGGCTATTCCCTCCCACTGTTTAGGGGTTGATCAAGACGCACGTTGGCGAAGAGCAACGGCAAAAGAAACACCTCACACCTGCCCCATGTTGCCTGTACACCATCATATGTGCTTCATACTGGAAGCGATCCCGTTGAGTGATTACTTGCATACCACTGGCCGTGGTTGATTTAACCGGCCAGTTTGTATATTACGTACATGGCCACGTCCCACACACCGTAGCTTATTGACCACTTTTGAGAGTGACCACGCGGCATCGCCGATCGTGGTCGCGATGACTGTCGTTTGATCTTGTTTGATCCTGCTCACCCTAAGAGCTATAGCACATCCATGACGTAGTTCTCAGAAGGTTCTAGATCCAAGGCCTGCAGTGGCATCGCTAAGGTTTTCCTGAAGCCAAATTGGCATAGCCACCAGGACCTGCTTCGTATCTGGATTAGAAACCCAGCAGCATGGGAAGGGTCGGACGACCACTTTGCTGTCGTCGCTTTGGTTACCGTTTAGTGCTACATCGGTGGTGTTGGCCGTTTCTTTTTCTTTTTCTTTTCAATTCCGCTTGGGGATATTAGGGTTCACAGATGCATACACTTCTGCAGGTTCTGCATAAACCGTTGACACTTTAAATCTAGAACTGGACTTCATATACACTTTTCCACCGTGTTGAACGGTTTGACCTCTTGATGTGAGCACAGTTGCATACAGATTACTCGCATGGTGGACACTGGTTGATGGAGGGAGGAAAATTTTTTGTCTGTGTATGTGTGTGTGAGTAGAGGAAAGGGGGTTTGGTGCATCATGGACGATATGCTCAGGTATATAAAGGGTACGTAAGATCCCACATTTCGATCGTGAGTCAACGTATGCTCTTTCACTTCAGCTGTCTGTCGAAAACCAACTGTCCGATCTCTCTGATCTACATTCATTCCTTTCTTTATTCTAAGATCAAAAGCTGAAGCATAAGCTTTCACTGTTGTTTTACCCTGGACCAGAGTCTCATTCATTCCTTTAATCTGATAGGTTGTTCCTTCTAAGCTTTATATCTCACACTCTCTTTCACTATACGTTCTTGATCTAATATGTTGTTCAATCAAAACACTCTTCTCTCATTGGCTTTGGCTATTTCGCAAGTTGCTGCTGAGCCAAAACACTCGCACCCTTCTGTTGAAGGTAAGCAAGTCTCAAGTCTTTTCAAAAGAGCCGGTACCTGTTCTTTGCCATCGACTGGTGGTATCGTTGCAGTTCAGAAAGATGGCCAAAACGCTGGGTGGGCTATGCACAGTGACCAGACCTGTTCTTACGGCTCTTGGTGTCCATATGCTTGTCCACCAGGCCAACTGATGAACCAATGGGATCCATCTGTCACCTCCTACAGCTATCCAGGTTCTCAAAATGGTGGTTTGTACTGTAATGAGAACGGTGAGCTCGAGGCCAAGAGAGACGGCTCCTACTGTGTGGATGGTGCTGGTACCGTTGTTGCTAAGAACTTGGCTGGAAGCAACGTTGCCATCTGTCAAACAGTCTTGCCTGGTAACGAGGAGATGTTGATCCCAACTGATGTTGATGGTAACTCTCAAAAGACCCTGGCTGTCCCAACGCCAGACTACTGGGCTGGTACTGCTGCCCATTACTACATCAATGCCCCAGGTGTTTCTGTTGCTGATGGATGCAAATGGGGTTCTGTTAACAAGGCAGAAGGAAACTGGGCTCCATACGTTGCAGGCGCAAACCAAGATAGTTCTGGTAACACATATGTCAAGATTGGCTGGAACCCTATTTATCTTGAGTCTGCTACACCATTCAGAAACACCAAGCCAACCTTTGGTATTAGAATCACATGTCCAGACGGTGGCTGTAACGGTGCTCCATGCGAGATCGACCCATCTCAAGGTGCTGTCAACGATATTACCACGGGATCATCCACTAGTGGTGCTGGTGGTGCTAACTTCTGTGTTGTGACTGCATCCAAGGGTGTTACTGCTAACATTGAAGTATTCGAGGTTGGCTCTTCAAAGTCCAAGAGAGATGAAGGTGAACATCAACACCACCACCACGAGCATAAGCCATTGCAAACCACCTTGGATATCGTTTACACCACTGAAACTGTGAGTAACTAAGCTACTACAATCATGAACTTCCCATTACACCACAGACCATTCACTTGATATAATGTGACCAATTCTATTCTTTTGGATCACTGTGTTACTACAAAACCTTTGTCATGAAACTATTTCCCTCCTCTACTCCACTTTTTGACCCTTTCCTCATCGTATGGTATACAAATGTCAGATGAGCAATGATTTCGTTGCGTACATCAACAATTAACGTACCGACTCTGAATTCGGAGTTGGTGATGCCTCTTTTTTGATTTGCTATGAGTCTATATGTCTATTTTATATCGTTTAGGTTAATTGAATTGTATCTTACACCTTTATGAACAATTACAACGTAAACTACAACACTGAGCCCACAACGTCATGCTGAAGTTGAAGAGGAACGTACCACCTCTGGTGGAATTGTGCTGATCAAAGCAGCTTCTCATGCAAATGGCCGTTATGCGTTTAATCAAAAACTTCTAAAGGCGGTTTAAAGTTTAAAACTTTTCACTGGTTGGCGCAACATACGTCGGAAATAACTCTGAATGTGATGTTAATGCGTGTATGTCTGTGCTGTAATCATGCATATCGACGCATATTCATGTAGGTCACGCGTGGAAGACAAGACGTGTCCGTGGCGAAAAAAAATAAATGCCGTTACCTGGAATCGAACCTGGGTCTGGTCGGCCACAACGACCTGTACTAACCACTATACTATAACGGCTTACTATGTTTTTCCAAATTGTGCTGTTTGACGAGTGGAGTCGATGCCAATCGTACAGTGGACAATGAGCTTAGACCTTTCAAATATGGTATACTCATTACAAAAGTGTGGTTGGAATAGGATACAGATAACTTGTTCATTCGTCATATGGAATCAACAACTATATACAGGAAACACTGCGGATTTGGGACTTTAGAATGCGCATTTCCCCTTATACGTCAAGAGACAAGCGACATGTCTAGAACCCCTCTCCCACAGAACGATATCCTTCTCCATAAACTTCATTAGAAACAAAACAAATGCAGCATTCAATTCGTAAGAATCCTCCTTGAGATGGTTTTGGTCACTCAATCTTCACCCTTGACGACACCAACTTTAGCTGGACGCAAGACACGGCCATTCAAGTAGTAACCTTGTTGTTGGACAAAGAACACAGTGCCTGGTTCTTTATCAGGTTGAGGGACCTCAAACGTTGCTTCGTGGACATTTGGATCAAACTTCTCGCCAATTGCCTCGATTGGCTCCAATCCGTGTCTCTTCAAGGCGTTCAAAAACATGTTCTGGGTGATTTGAACACCCTCCACGAGATCGTCAAGCTCTTTGAGCTTCTTGGTAGTGTCGGAGGTCTCCTCCTTGGTCAACGTCTTGAGAGCAATCTCGAACGTATCAGCAGTCTCGAGCAAATCCTTAGCAAAGGACTTGAGCGCAAGCTCCTTGGACTTCTTGATCTCTCTCTTTGTAGACTCCTGCAAGTTTCTGAAATCGGCAATTGCTCTGAGATAATGGTCCTTGAACTGAGCCCTTTCCTTTTGTGCAGCTTCCAATTGCTCCTTGCACAAGGTGAGCTCGTCCTTTGGCTCGCTGTTCTCTTCCTTAGCGGCCTCTTCCTTGGCCTCTTCTGCCTTTGGCGCCTCTTTCTTCGCCTCCTCAGAGTAGAATCTGATGGATCTCTGCGCCAGTGGGGACACGGCCAACGCTCTTGGAGAGATGACAGCAGGTCTTGTGGCCCTCAGTGTCTGTGATCTGAATACGTTTCTCAGCATTTTTGCCCTAGTTGCTGTTGTCTTTTGTTGCTGGAGACTCCTCTAAACAAAACCGGTGAAGGGTGAAATGTCCTTCTCTTCGCCCTCCGTTTTGGACATTCGAGTGACCGAGTGAAAAAAAATGTCCACTCGACGACGTTTGTCCCGCGAACTCGTTTGGTATTCTCCCGCCGCGAACTCGTCTGATGTTTTCTTCCGCGAACTCGTCTGATGGCTCCTCTCGGAAAATTTTCCTGCAAATTCCACCGGATCTTTGCCTACTGCCCGTAGCGGGCTTTTTTCCTCCTCTGTTTCTTCACATCTTTTGACGGTTTCCCAACCAATGCCAGTGTGTTGATTACAAATAGCATCGCCATTTCGAATCCCCCGCTGTTTCCTTAGTGCGAAGAGAGAGACCTACGGACGGACTCGAAGTAGCAGATTCTGATTTGTGCTGTGTTGTGTTGTGTTGCCCGTGTTACCGCTCTGTGATTGTACTGGACAAACTGCTGAGGCTCATCAGACGTATATTCCTCGGTTGAAAGCAGCTTGGAGCCATGATGGATCGAACCGTTGCTGTGCTATATGGTTCAGAGACCGGCAACGCACATGACTATGCCGAGACGTTGAGCTCGTCGTTGGAGAGGCTCCATTTCAAGGTGACGTGCTCGTCGCTTGACGATTTCGATCTAAAGAGCCTTATCTCTACACGAGTGCTGGTTGTGATTTGCTCCACGACGGGCCAGGGCGAGTTCCCGAAGAACGCTCGTAGATTCTGGAAGTTCATGCTGAAGAAGAAGCTGCCGCACGACCTGCTGAACCACATCATCTTCACGTCGTTTGGCCTGGGAGACTCCTCGTACCCGAAGTTCAACTGGGCCATAAAGAAGCTCCACAATAGACTGCTACAGTTGGGAGCCGTGGAGTTCTCGAAGCGAGCAGAAGGTGACGAGCAGAGCTCACAGGGCATAGACGGCTACTACATCGAGTTCCAGAAGCTGCTCGTGGAGAACCTCATGAAGGAATTCCCATTACCACAGGGACTGGAGCCGATTCCTGATGATACACTGCTGGCTCCAAAGAACAGGCTAATGGTGGACATGCGTAAGCCAAAGAGACAGACGGATGATAAGGTGAAGCAGGTGGCAATGACGAGACAAGACGCAGAGCTGGTGCCGGTCAAGGTGTCCTGTAACACGAGAATCACCTCACTAGAGCACTTCCAAGATGTCCGTCATTTCAGCATCCATTCCACGGAACCCTTGACGTACGAGCCCGGTGACACCGTCTCATTATACCCTACAAACGACCCACAAGAGGTACAGACATTGATAGAGATTCAGGACTGGCATGAGATTGCGGACAGGCGAGTCGACATTGAAGGTGAAGCTCCAAAGATTGACGGAGGCTACGTCAAGAACATGACGTTAAGGTCGTTACTGACCCACCATTTGGACTTGAAAGCCATTCCAAGAAGATCCTTCTTCGGGCTGCTACAACACTTTGCCAGTGATGAAAGAGAACGGGAAAAGTTACAAGAGTTTAGCTCTTATAAGGATCCAGAGGAGCTGTATAACTACGCAAACCGACCACGCAGGTCGATATTGGAGGTCATCCAGGAGTTCTTCAGCGTGAAGATACCGGTGGAGTACATCTTCGACCTGTTCCCTGTGATTAAGCCACGGTTGTTTTCGATTTCATCTGAGCCTTCTGAGCATAACATCGACCTGACCGTGGCAATTGTACAGTACAAGACGATGATTAGACGTGTGAGAAGAGGCTTGTGTACGACATGGCTCAAGACTCTGAATGTTGGCGACGATATCGTTGTGAAGATCAACAGAAACTCGTTGAAGTTCCCACCGCTGGATAAGCCAATCATTATGATTTCACCAGGTACTGGTATTGCACCGATGAGATCTTTGATCCGTCAACGTGTATCGCAAGGATGCGACAAATCACAGCTGATACTGTTTACAGGCAACAGATACCACGATAAAGATTTCCTGTATGGAGATGAACTGACAAAGCTGGCACAGGATGGTAAATTGGAGCTGTGGACCTCATTTTCAAGAGAAGCCGGTGGTTACGTCCAGGACACCCTGTACCTACAGGCAGATGCCATAGCAGAGCTCTTGACACACCGTGATGCTGCCATCTACATATGTGGATCGTCAGGTAAGATGCCTAACCAAGTGAGAGTGACCTTTGAGACAATATTACAGGAGACGAGAGGCTTATCAAAGGAGGACTCTCAAAAGTATTTGCAAGAATTGGAGATGAACGGAAGGTATATTCAAGAGACATGGTGACTGTTTTTAGTATCACAAGCAGCTCTGATGTCCTGACAAACACCTCGTTCATGAATAACAGCATATTAAGTATTTATAGAGTGTTCATATTACAACATTACAGTGCATTACACCATTCTGAAACATGGACCAAGTCTCTCTTCATGTTAGACGAAACAACGCTTCAACCTGAATGCATACACTAGACGTCACAAGTGAATATCGCGAGTATATCATTGGTGTGGACCATTAACACCACTTGCCATAGTCCCTGAAGCCTCTTCCGTGCTCTTCTAGACTCCTCTTAAAACTCACTCATGTCTATTGGTATTTGTAGTCCTTTAGTTCTCAATCATCACTACGGTATCAGAACTAGCAATCGTTTACAATAAAGTACGGGACCATAAATAAATAGCTTCTCAGGCAATTCGAAAGATCAGTTGCACACACGTGATCTCTGCTCCTTGTACAGAGCTAACAATGGTTCCCATAGGTCAGAAGAGCAGTCATATTCAGTCTTTGACTTCTTTCTGAACCCGGCGTTCTTCTCGTCCTCCTTCTCATCTCTCTTATGAGCTGAGGTCTCATCACCACTTCCAGCATCACCACTTCCAGCATCACACACACGTTCCCTACCATCCAAACCATACACATCAAACTTGCCCTCTGTGTACAGCTGACGGTCAAATGCTGATGTTCCATAGTGGATGACCTTGGCTTTGTTGTAAATGAGACCAACAATGTCTTCTGCTTCATCCATGTCGTAATAGAGTGGTTCACCGGTGACGGACTTGAGACCCATAAGTGAATACGGAAGATCGTTAGGGTCGGCAGCGTAGAAGGAGTACTTCTTTGAATTCTTCTCCTTCTTTGAAGAAGTTTCGTACTTCTCAAACTCGGAAGCAAGCGTACCATAGACGTTATGAGGCAAGATCATTAGTTCCGGTCTCTCGTCCAGACGTTCTTCCAGGTTGAATCTGCTTGTGAAGTGACGAGAACGGCCAATCTGTAACCTGATAGAGTAACGGAAAGAGAATATCGTATCTCTCAGCAAACGAGCAAGGTCTTTCCCGGTGTATCCCACTTCCAATAGATCCTTTTCGACACGTGAGAACACCTCTGTGCCTGGCTGAATCACCATGACGTTAGTGGATAAGAATAGCTCCTCCATAACCCAGTTCTTTGGTAAACTGTTGTACAAATTAGAGTAGAAGTTCTTCTCGTTGACTCTCTCATCGAGGGTCTGTGAGGAAGAAAACCCGTGGAAGTTCAACTTCGCAGTGTCCTCGTTCAAGAAGGGTTCGATATCGTTCTTGAATATCTTGTTAAGCTTGAGGGCTCTCCGTTTTGGAGACTCTTTAATGTAACCGGTCTTCTTCAGGTCAAAATGCTTGAGTACCTTGCTGAGCGGTTCTTCGCTTGTCCAGTACGCACTAGGAACTGCCAAATTAGTAGGAGGAATGAAGAACAGCTCATCGAGGTTTCCCTTTGTTAAGATAGAGACTGGATCAACGTAGATCAGTCTCTTATACTCTGTTCTGTTGAAAGCCAACAACTCAGGGTAATGAATCCAGGTCTCGTTCAATTGAGCGAAGTGCAGAGGCTCAACCTTGACGTTGTACTTCTTTTGGAATTCTGTGATGATGTTCGCAGGAGCTCCCGATAACAGCTTCTCGTCAATGAACATCAACAGGTCTGCCTTCGTACCACTGCTGCTCAACTCTGCCAGCTTCATCATTCCAACACACAGGTCCGTTTCATTGACCACTGAGATATAATAGCCCAGTTTGGACCAATCAACGCTCCCGAGGTCAG